ACAAAGGGAAAAGAACAATGGCTGAGCAAATATTATAAGAAATACAGGCTTTGTGGTTCTGGTATTAAAAGCCAATCCTTTCTCAGCAAAATCTGGTGAAAGTCTTCAACTCAGTTCATTTCCTTTTATTAACATGTATTTTGACAGAACTCTTCTGGTGGACTGGTGCTGATGAAAACCTATTGTTTTCAATTCTACTTTTATCTGAGAACAACGTGGAAACTTCACATAAAAAATTGCAGTGCCTGTACTTACGATTACAGGCTGGTCTTTCTGCCACAAGTGTTACATTAATCAAAGGTTTTCTTCTGCTCTCCTGCCTTGTCTATTGCCTCCAACTTAGGTTGATAAACAGGTGCTATCTGGATATCCTACTACCATTCATTCTTTTCATCTGTATCTGAGCAGACTTGTGTCTGCTGAGTACTTCCTCAATGCTAGCAAACTGGCTGGCATCCAACTTGGACAAATTGCTGATCTTTCCTACCACTTAACATTAAAGAGGGCTTCTAAGGGACAATGGACAAATCGCTCAAGAAGCCAGATTCAGCATCTAAAGACTGGTTGACATTTCTTACGTATACATAATTTAGGGAGTGTCACTATTTTAAAGGCCTTCAAGTTGGCCCAGAACTTGGCATAATAATATCCTCAGCTTAGAACTAAAGCTGTACAAAGCTTGTAAATCACTTAGAGACGAGATCATCTGAGTCTGAGGTGACTAACATACTCAACTGTAATTTATATACTTGTATCATTGTCCTTTCAAACCATGGTGTTAACATAAAGTAGATATAAATAATTAGAATAAATAATATGGCACTATATATAAATCTACATACAAAATACATAGAAATCTTTTGCTTGCCTTAATACTTCTTTCCATTTCTATGAGCTTCCCAGAAAAACTGATTCTTAGTGCCTGAAATACGGTGAGGTATTTCAAAGTATGATGACAAGGAATACTAAAGTAATTACATCTACTTCATGAAAGATTTACTTAGCAGAATGGGACTCAAAATGATGTAGTGCTTTCAATATCAGAAGCCTGGTTGGAGGTTTTTATTAGGGCAAAAGCTAGCCTAAGTCTCTGAGATGGCTGTCAGGGACTTTGGTATCCTGTCCTCCTAAAAGAGAAACCCAAATATCCTGAATGTGAATCAACAAAGATATAAGACTCAATAAAATTAAGAGTTCTCTATTAGTCTTTGAAGCCCCATTGTGAGCAGAGGAACTGTATTTAGGGGGAAGGGAGTTTTCTATTTGAAAAGTGCTTGAAAAATGAATGACTGTGTCGGTATAAAAGAGACAATGTGAGAAATGAACACTTGATCCCGAAAGAGGGAATATGTGCACAGTGTTTGGACATGTATAAATGTGCATGCAGATACTTGTAGATATGTTAAAGCAGGCACATTAGTAGTAGCAGTATAGTAGGTAAGAGTACACAGTACAAGGATTATTAGCTTCTTCTAATGACATGGAAGACAGCTTGGACTTTAGAAGATGGTATAAAAATATAACTAGCTTGCTATTTACTTTCTCTTCTTTCATTTTTGTGGGGTCTGTTTGTGGTTATACCTGGCACTTGTATCACATTGACTCAAGACCATGGGAAATGGCTCAGCCTGTTTGATGGCAACGATGTGACATTTATAGTCCTAAAATGAGAAATACAGAGCCTGGCCTCAGTCTCATACACGTTGAAAAGGTCCAGCAGTGTCTGGAGGAACACAGCTTATGTATTCAAGGAGAGGGAATTTTAAGGTGCATAACTTAATCCTGCTTTTGTTGATTAATAATGCTTATATGGCTTATGGAAAGTGCCTGCAAATTGATACTCATTATAAGCCCTTAAATATCCAAAAGAAAGAGTATTGGCTTTTTCTTTCACATTTCTTCTTATTTTTAGAAAAAATGATTGACAATAACACATCTCTGGGTATAAATGATGACCCAGTGGCTTTTTAGTGAATTTGGGGTGGGGGGGGCGGAGTTAGAAAGGCTATATTCTTAGTTGAGAATCCATGCATCACTTTTTTTCTGATAGGTTGAGAGGTCTTGTAGCTCCTTGGTGGATAAATTCAGGCTTTGGGTAACTATTTTATTTCTATCAGAAGAAAGCTTAAGTAAAACAAATTCTGTCCACAGTTACACAGCAAACCTCAACATACTCTCATAAGTAAAGGGACCTCCTCTGTTTTACTAATTGCTACTGAAAATGTCTTTTTCCCAAAGAATTGCAGGAACCAGTGCTACCCAGAGTTAAACACTGAGCTTATTGTATGGGTGTCAGTGTGTGCAAAAATAAGATTCCTTGGCACCAAGAAAAACAAATAGTATACATAGAATAAAAGATGGGGAAAGCAAATAAGTAGATGTACCCAAGTTAAAAAAAAAAAACACCAATGGACATCATGATTCTAAAAATTTTGTAAGAGAGCTTTTTTAGATTCTTTACACTTGTGGAGAGCATACTGAAGTAAAAGGAATTTTCTGGAAATATAAATATGTAAAAAATATTTTGCTGTAACTATCATAAATGATCATTATTATTTTAATTATTATTCATTCAAAAATGTGTTCCTCAAAATATATATTTTATTATCTATTTTTATTTTATTTTTATTATTTTTACCACTTGAGTTGCCATGTTCTCCCAAAATCCACCATGGCAGCAGCTTGGATGAATGCCAAGTTTTTCAGCCATAAGGTAGCAAAATTTGGCAGAATCCAGATTATGTCCGCTTCCAATCACACGGTGCTTCTGAAATCCACTTAGTTTCCAGGTAACATAGGTGAGAACATCCACTAAGTTAGAAACCACAATTATGATACAGTCAGAGCTGTACTTGGTGATCTGAAGAATAATGAATTTCAACACATTGACATTCTTCTGCACCAGGTTGAGATGACTCTCTCCCTCTTGCTGGTGAACTCCTGCTTAGAATTGGCGGCCACGGAGTAGTCTTTATCTGCCCCAATTTTTAGGGTCTGAAGAAACAAGCTCCCATGCTGCAGGTCCATCATTTCTCCTTTGAGTTCATCTTCCAGTACATCCACACAAGCAACCTCATCAGTCAGAGACTTTGCCAGAATGCTTGCTGATGGCACATGCCATACCAACTTGTCCAACACCCACAACGATGATCTTATTGTTTGGACCACTGTTTCTTCTGCAACTGGCACCATCGGTTTTTCCTTAAGAGTTGTCATTGTGCACGGGAGACAGAGGGCGCACCAGGTCTTAGAAAGAGTCCCACCAAGGAGACAACGTCAGCTGTGTGTGTCCACTCCCGCACAGGATCCAGAGCCCTCAAATACATTTTGAAGGCTAAAACTGTGCTTCACATTAGGAACATAATAATGAACACCTCAGAAAAGATGTCAGAGCAAGTCTGTAAATAGCCAATTATTTAACCAGTGAAATTTTAGTCATTTTGGACAACTCATTTACTGCTAAATATCTCTTCCTTTCACCTGTCACACTACAGATTGATTTTTTGGCTTTCCCAGTTTCCCACAAAGATTTAAATATGCATTTAAATAGTTATTTAGCCATCCACTCATTTATTCAAAAAGTATTTATTATTGTGGCTATTGATGTCATCAAGTACTCTAGGTTCTGGGAATCCAGGTGTGAAAGGTAAAGTCACAGCACAGGTGCAGCCTGAACCAAGTAAGTGGACCATTACAAATGATCCAATAAATGTTATTATAGTGACAATGGCAGAATGAAAATGGAGATTTGGGACAGAGGTCCCAAAAGAGATCACAGAGGAATCATGGAAAAACTCTCTAACAGACAAATTGCATTTAAAGTAGATTTAATACATTTAGGAGTTTTTGAGATGGGGACATGGTGGAGGTGGAACATTATAGTCACGGAAAAGCTTAAAGGGTAGCACCGAGGGAGTGTGGTCCTTTGTTATTAGGCAGGTGACTTCTTAAAGTTTTTGGCATATAGCATGGGGGAGAAGGTGAAGAGGGAGAGCACCAGATAAGGTCTTGGTGTGGAAGGTGTGAGAAGGGGAAGGTAGAAATAGAATTCTAAATTCTTTTATATATCCTTATTATAGACCTTTCTGGAAGTCAACACATCACAATTTGCACTGTTTGTACATTTATTTACACTAGAACTCTACAAAACTAGGATTATAAAAATTATTGAATCTCCTTTAAAAAAACTTGTAGATGGCCCCAGCTTGTGTGACTCAGTGGATTGAGTGCCAGTTCAATTCCCAGTTGGGGCACATGTCTGGTTTTCAGGCCAGGTCCCCAGTGGGGGGCACGTGAGAGGCAACCACACATGATGCTTTTCCTCCCTCTCTTTCTCCCTCTCCTCCCCTCAGTCTAAAAACAAATAAACAAAACCTTTAAAAATAGATTAAAAAACTTTTAGATGTATTTGTAATAAAAGCCAATGAATACAAATAGGACAGGAAGCAAACCCAAATCATCAAAGAAGGTAATGGGATGGTGTTACACAGTGTATCTTAGGCATTGAACGAAGTGCCCGCAACGTCGCTGTCGTGAATGTACTGCTGTGGTTCAAGTGGCTCAGTTACCTGGTTCCACCGAAGTTTTGTCGATCCCTGGCCTCAGCAGGTACATGAGAAAGTGAGATGAAGAGAGAAAAAAAGAACTTTTCCAAGAATCATTGATAAAATTAAGAAAGGCATGAAATTTTTCTTTGTTTTATTGTTGTTAATCAATTTTGTAAGCAAGTTACTTCAATGCCCAGAAGAAAAGCGAGTAAAGGTGTATCACTATGTAACAAATTGTTCACATTACTCTTTGTAATCTTTCTTTTGGATATTTAAGGGCTTGTAATGAGTATCATCTTGCAGGCACTTCCCATAAGCTATATATGCATTATTAATGAAGTTCTATGACTGGAAACTTCTATCACTGCAATGACTGTTGGGAAGCATAGGTTCATTTAAACTAATAATGCATGGGAGTTTGTCACAGTTTTAACATATGCATTCTTTTTGCAGATGGTTGAGAAAGAAGGTTATCTTCAAAAAGCTAAAATTGCAGATGGAGGAAAGAAACTAAGGTAATAAAAGCTCTTTAATTCACTTTTATGTAACTGTGCTAGTTTCCCATCTCCTCAACTTGTGTCACCACTGTTGTTCAGGAAGAAATGTGGAAGACTGGTACAAGACTAGAATATACTCTGTTATCATTAAACATTATTTTTACTATAATTATAGTCTTCCAATAAAGTATTACATTCTATATAGTTGCATGGAATACACGAATAAAGTGTTCTTGTTCTTCTAGGACATGAACTCTGATAAAAATCTGAAGAAATAAGATAATGGGCCTTGATTTCTGAGATTAACAGATTAGGGGATGAATGGACTCATTTTGCAATATATAAAATTCCCCTATAATACATTGGAAGCATATTTTTTAAAAAGTGAGGATTAGCACTGGCCAAGTGGCTCAGTTGGTTGGAGCATCATCCTATACACCAAAACATTGTGGGTTTGATCCTGCTCAGGGTACATACCTAGGTGGCAGATTTGATCCCTGCCCTGTGGGGTATGAGAGGCAACTGATCAATGTTTCTCTCTCACACAAATGACTCTTTCCTCTCTCTCTCTCTCTCTCTCTCTCAAATTGATAAGTATGCTTCAGTTAAGGATTTTTTTTAATTGAGGATTTGACATGCATTTGTCACCCAAATAAAAATTATTTGAGAAAAACAAAAGGAAAAATAAAATCATCTGTCAGATAAAAAGTTGAAAGTTGCCACATTTGGTGGTGAGATGAACACACAGCATGTGAGAGAAATTAGAAAAGTTAATAAGCATTCCTCGGTCAACAACAGCAAAAACCCTGAAGAAAAAAAAAAGGATTGATAGGAGAGAGAGAGATGCTAGAATATTGTGTATGTATGGAATATTTAGAAATAATCATTTCTATTTTAGAATTTTTCCTATTTTTTATACAGGTTCTATTACAGTTGACCTTTGGACACTGCAGGGGTTAGGGCTGCCATTCCCAACGTAGTTAAAAACCCACCTATAACTTTGTCTCTAAATGTGGCCCTTCACATGGGCAAACTCAACCAACCTGGGGCTGAAAACAGTGTTTTTGCTCAGCAGTTGGGAATGTGCAGTAGGGAACATGAGGCTGGGAATGCAAAAAGAGTGCCTTCCATTCACTTGGTTGAATCTGCTAAGGCAAAACCAGCAGACAGGAAGGGCCAACAGTATTTATGGAAAATAAATCCTCGTGTACATGCAATTCAGACTTGTGTTGTGCTAGGTGATATGCAGCTAAAAGGTATGTAGATGGGGGACAAAGCATTTATTCCTGACTCTGTTATTTAAAGTTAGAACCATGAAGGATAAAATGTGCTAATTAGCTACACAACAAGACACATGTCAATTGTATTGCACAATTCATTAGTAGAATGGCATTCTGGCCAACATCAAAGAAAGGATGCTTTTTGTTTGCTAGCTTTAAAAAGCAAAATTTGAGACAACATTCATCCATAATTTCATTACTTAAAATAGCTATTTCAGTTCTAAAGAACGAGTTCATTTTCTGCCTATATTGTTATATTCTGATAGCAAAGAACAGGGCCTTGAATCCTTTCCTAGACTGTTCCTCTTCAGTAACTCTACATACACCCTCTTTTGAAGGGTGCAGGAGAGAGATGCACAGGAGACAAGATCAAATGCAAGGCTGCTTTAAGAGACTGGGCTAGGGCTTGCTCCATGGAGAACCTGACTTAGGGAGTGAACTGGTTTCTGACAGGGCAGTAGGAGAGAATCTTCAACCTTCACTAGCCCAGAATAGTGCCCTCCTTGCCCTTAGACCTCACTTCCAAGTATATCAGCTCATGGAAGTCGTGAAGAGGTGCAGCAATGACTCTTCCTAAGGTGTATGTCAGACCCCCTCCAACCTTACCAACTATGTGCTCAAAATTTCCAAAGAGGGACAGAAAAGGACCAAAGGGCTTGTTTAAATGATCCCTTCACTGGGGTGTAGTAGACTTACCCTGCAGCCTCATACAAGGAAAAGGAGGGGACTCTAAAAGGAGTTGCAAAAAAACAAGGTGATGCCCCATCACAGTGTTTTTGTAAAGTGCTTCTTATAAACGACCCATATACCAGCTTTGTGAATTTTTCTTCCTACAAGGTGGTTTCAGGAAAAAGCAAAAGAGCAAAACAGAACCTTTCCCCTAACTGACTCACATGAAATTATTTTTAGGCAGTTTCAATCAGTTTGTATACCACTTTGTGTTTATTTGTTGTTCCTTTAATCAGTTTGCATACCATGTCTGTGTTTTAATTTAAATTCATATAAACATTAGTCTGTACTCTTATTGATATTTCAATCAGTTTGTATGCCATTAAGAATTCTTTTAGCCTTTTTCATTTTTCATTTAGCCATTTTCAAAGTTATATAAATTTTAGTTTTCCTTTTTTTAAAAAAACCTCAGGTGAACAGAGAGTTAATTATACTCTTCAGTGTGTGGCGTTGTCTTCACATCCTCTGGGCAGGACCCCTAGCTGGTTTTATTTCACTCTAGTCTCCAACCCTCACTTCAATCCTTCGTGCATTGTGTGTTCATCATATTCACTCTCCATGTATTTGTTTGGCTGCATGTGTGGCATTCCAGAAAACAGTGTGCCATTGAGTGCATGGGAATGTGTTCTAAATTGCACAAGCCTATTTGTCCTATAAACCTCATTCTGTTTCTTACTACTTTCATTTAATGCTAGTGTTTGGACATCTATCTACACTTATATATTTAAAATGAGTTCATTTCTTCCAACTGCCGCCAATTTTGCCATTGTGTACATACACCAAGTTTTACTTACCCAGGCTCCCAGAAGTCAGCACCTAAATTGTACCTAACCCCTTTGATCACAAATAACATTGCAATAAAGCACATATATATGGCTTCTTCCTGACTTGTTAGGAATTCTCTCTGGGGCATATCCCCAGGAGTTAAGAAGTGCTTGGTAGTAAGGTACACACATATGGATTTATATCCATTGAGTGCTGCTGTCAGGCTTTTTCCTGGTTAACTGCACAGGTTCACATCCCTTCTGCATGCAGAAGGGCTCCATCTCACCACAATCTCATCAGCACACAGCTTCATGTAACTCTCAGTTTTGAAGTTGATGGCCTTAGAGCATTGCTTCAGTGTTGCTTTTGTTGTTATTCTTCTGATTGGTATTTCAGTGGAGCATCACTTCATCTCTTTTGAATCAGTCAATTTCTTAATTCTGAGAATTGCCTCAGCATTGCACTTTGACTATTTTCTACTGAGTTTCTGACTTTTAAAACAATTTTTATTTATTAAAATTTTAATTATATTTTATTGATTATGCTATTACAGTTGTTCTGATTTTCTCCCCTTTGCCCATCTCCACCCAAGTCCTAGGAGGATAAGAACACTTTATTCATGTATTCCATGCAACTATATAGAATGTAGTACTTTATTGGAAAGCTATAATTATAGTAAAAATAGTGATTATAATGATAACCCCTTACCCCCTAGAGAAATCCTCCCACCTTTGTTCATGTCCGTGGGCCATGTGTATAAGTTCTTTGGCTACACCATTTCCTGTACTGTACTTTACATCCACATGGCTGTTCTATAACTACCTATTTGTACTTCTTAATCCCTTCACCTATTCACATATTCTCCCCAACTCACCTCCCATCTGGCCACCATCTGGTAACTAACTTCTTTTCTCTTGCTGCTTTTAAGATTCTCTCTTTATCTTTAACCTTTGGCATTTTAATTATGATGTGTCCGGGAGTGGGCCTCTTTGCATTCATCATAATTGAGACTGCGTTTCCTGGACTTGCATGTCTTTGTCCTTCACCAAATTAGAGAAGTTTGTTTTCACTATTTTTTCAGATTGATTTCCAAATTCTGGCACTTTCTCTTCTCCTTATGGCACCCCTATATTGCAAATGTTGAACCTCTTGAAGATGTCCCAGAAGGCGCTTATAGTATCCTCATTTTTTTGGATTTTTTTTCTTCTTGTTCTGATTGGTTGTTTTTTGCTTCCTTATGTTCCAAATCATTGATCTGAATCTCAGCTTAATCCACTCTAATGTTGTTTCCCTGTAAATTGTTCTTTATTTCAATTAGTTCATCCTTCATTTCTGACAGGATCTATTTTATGCTGCTGAGATCCTCACTAAGTTCCTCGAGCATCTTTATAATTAGTGTTTTAAACTCGGCATCTGATAGATTGTGTATCTCTGTTTCGTTTAGCTCTTTTTCTGAAGTTTTGATCTGTTTTTTCGTTTGGATCATGTTTCTTGGTCTCCTCATTTTGGCAGCCTGCCTGTGTTTGTTTCAATGTATTAGGTAGAGCTGCCTTGACTTCGTGTCTTGGTAGTGTGCTCTAATGTAGTAGCTATCCTACAGGGTCCAGTGGCACAGTATTCCCTATCACCCAAGCTGGGTACTTGAGGTGCACCCTTTGTGTGGACTGAGAACACCCTCCTCTTTCAGCTGAGCCTTGGTTGCTGTTGGCAGATCAATGGGAAGGATTTACCCAGGCCAGTCAGCTGAAAGGATTGGCTGTGACCACTAACCACCAACCTCCAGCCTCTGTGGAGTATCAGCTGTGCAGTGGCAGGATGGTGTTGCTCCAAAGTGGTCTAGAGCTGTCCACTGGGTACACTGGCCCTGGTGTTTCCAGTATGTGGAGGCCAAGGTCAGCCCCCACCTTTGTTTTGCCTGGGGCGCCCTGCCTGAGCTGTAAAGCAATCTGAGATGGCTGCTATTTGTGCTGGGCTTGGAGATTCCCAGCTGAAGCCAAACTGTGAATCTAATCAGGCTGCCACTAGGGCCCACTGAACAGTTGTTGCTTGTTTGATAGGATTTAGGAGCTAAGGCCAGCCATTCTTATGGAAAAGCAGCTTGGATGGGCCCATAAATTGGGTGGGATGGAGTCTCAGATCTCCAAGGCAGGTCAAACAGTGTTAGCCAGGTTGATGGAGTCTCAAATATGACACCAGTTTACCAGCTCTGTGGGGGGAGGGTTTAGAAAAGGACCAATGGTCTCT